AAAAAAAAAAAAAAAAAAAAACAATTCCCGACCACCGCCGATAGAACTATAAATAGCCACGGGTTTCTCCACTTATCCTACTATTTCCAAGTAGGCATGGGGCACGTGGTTTTGGATTTTGGTTTATTTAAGCTAAGTTGAAGGACCGTGATCCTTCCAATTCGGCTATTTGTAAGAACACCCTAATGCGATTGCAGTCCACGTATTAATCTAAGAGATGGAAGAGTTACATACACGGAAGCAAAACGCTTAAGATCGGAGCTATACTCGATGCCTTGGAATTTAACACCCTGAAAAAGGACAATTTTCCTTGAACACTAAACTGAAATCCATACCTACGTAAAAACTTCATACTTGTCCTTTCCAGAGCTTCGATTTTCAGAGGAAACATGGATGGAATTTTTGGTGTGATCGATGACAACTTTAAAGTGTCCATAGTGGATTCAACCATGATGTGGATTGTGCATCGTGCTATGGACAAAGCTCACGAAAGAGTCAAGTCTGGAGAAGGCGTTATAGAAAGATTACATGAGATATCAAAATTCTACGAGTTGTCTGTAATGCAATTGGATGGGTGTATCACGTTTGTTCAAGAAGAAACGGACAGTCACAATCCGGAGAGCAGTCATGAAGAAGTGCTTGCAGGCTTGGCCGAAATAAGAAACCGCCTTCAACGACGTCTGTATGAATCGGAGCTGGCTATCCTACAAAAAGATAGGGAGTTGGCAGATAGATTTGTGAGCGAGTCCAAGTTAAGGCAGGCATTGGAATTTACGGAAAAGGAATTAGTTTCTTCACAGGAAGATCTTGAGCAAGCAAGATCAAGGAGTGCCGGAAGTTCCAACCTTAGCCCTCATGAAGGTGAGGATGACAATAGAGATGGGGAATTTTGTGAACTAAAAGACTCGGTGGATCGACAGGTTTGGAAGATCAGAGAAAAACTCGAGTTTGATGATTATGTGCCTAAGGTGAAGAACAGACGGAATCATTGTATCAACGATTTAAAAGTTGAAGAGATGGGGTCTGACATTGATATTTTGAAGGAAACTCTTGACATTGCGTTTGGAAAGATGCAGAGTGCCATTTTCTGTTCCGACATGGGACCAATAGAGCAGCAAGTAAAATCAAGTATTGAGAATGATATAATATCACTATGTCTTAATGGATTTGTGAGGGATTGCCAGGAGGATCTGGAAGCAGAAGCGAGAAGGAAAGAGAACCAAGTTTCAGTTTCCTTTAATGAACATTGGTCATATTTAATGAATGAAGCCATAGGTTTGTGTGAGAAGCTCAAGCCTCTCATTAGCCAAAATGAAATACAGCCCCAAAAAGAAGATCTAGATGGTAGATTTTCAGAATATGGGATAAACAAGGATGAAAACGAGCTAGAAGAGGAGGGAAGGCATGATGTTGCTAAAATGGTAAAGAACCAAGCAGAAGAACTGGTTCATTTGAAGCCAGAAATGCTTCGAGAGGAAAGTCCTGAAAGCTTGAAAAGTAGGTTCCGAGAAGTACTAGAAAAACTAGAGAATTTAAAGATTTTGAATGCTCGGATTAACAAAATTTTAGGCCAAAATTGGGATTTTGATGAAGAAGACATTCCTCCAGAAGATGGGGAGCAAATATTAAGAGAAAATCATAGACAGAAATCAGATGTTGGTACTTTGGCAGACATCTGGGGCAAGATGCATGAACTGCGGAATGAAGAAAACAGAGGAATACAAAACCAAATCTGCATGCTAACGCACCAGAGAGAGGACATAAAATTTCAAAACATAATAATGGAAGAAATTTACACCACTTTATTCCGAGGGTTGAGAGAAAAGTTTTGTAATGATTTAAGTCGCTGGGAATTGGAGAAACTGATTTCTGATGGTATATGCAGAATTTTCATTAGGGATATGTTCAATCAGTTGGATGAAACCATGGAAAGTTACAAGATTGAAGCCCAAATTAAAGATGATATATATCATATTTTCTTCATGGAGGCAATGAAAGGTTACAGATTGCAGGATGTGAAGGACGAAAACCTCTATCTGGAAGGTTTGACATCTGATAATAACCCTTCTCGATGTTTGGAATGCGAAACAAAGCAGGAAATTTATGGAATCCCCTTTACGGTAATGCTGGAGGAATGGCATAGAAACATAATAGAACATACATCTGAAATACTTCTTAGAGAAGAGATATCTTGGTTCGTCTTGAGTGAGACAATCAAAAGCATCTGTTACAAAGCCAACCATTGTCCACATACCAAATTCTTCAACGATTTTCTTCCCCAAATTACAATTAAAGAAGATGTCTGCTCAGTTTTCTTAAGGGAAATGGTTACGGAATGGGAGGACACGATAGAGGTGTCTAACTTGGAAACTTTAATTAGGGAAGAAATTTATTGGACTATGCTTGATGAGGCAAAAAGTGAAGTCTGTGACAGAGAAAGGAATATTGATGTCCCAACTCAGGATAGTGACGTTACAGAAATTACATCATCTAGGAAAACACTAGGTGAAGGCACAGAGATTGGTCCGGGAAGTCTCTGTCAGAAACTAAGTTTGCTTTCAGAAGGCATTGAAGTAGTGGAAAACTTGGTGCTCAGTGCAAGTCTTGAGATAATGGATTGTAATGGTAAAGCTACCTCCGTAGAGTTGAAAGACATTCAATGCGTTCTCAATTCTTTGAGTAATAAGCTAGTGAAAACTATGATGCAGTTCAATAACAAGTTGTTTGTGGGCGAGTTGAAACCTAGCTTAGAAACTATAGTTGATGAAGCAGAAAAAATTTCTGAAATTTCTCCGGATTTGGAAAATGTACCAGATACGAAGTTCTTGTTATCAGAACTTCATAATATGAAGCTAAGCAAGTCAGATTCTAAGTGCCTAAAACTTCTGGAGTTTCCACATATATTTTATGATTTCGAGCTGATGGCAAATAAAAAGTTGGGACAATTAACGCTGAGGTACTGACCTCATAGTGCCTTCTGGTAAAGTTTCATTTGATCTTCCTGAGCGGAAAAAACTGGTGCTAATTGCACCTCCACCTGTTATCAAACCAAATAGCTTAAACAAAGTTTACTTCCTCGAGAGAAAACCAACTCTTGAAATACTTGGACAAAAATTTGTTGTTTAAAGGAAATAAACTTACCTCATTTTTTACTGTTGATAGATTGGAAGAAATGAAGCATACTTTGTATCCACTTCCTCAAGTCATGGCTTCTCTGCGAGAAAGTGAATCGCTTTATAAGAAGGCTTTCATCAGAAGATGCCAAAATCTCAGAAAAGCTGAAAATGAGGTTCTATAATCAATTTCTAATACAGATATTTTTCCTTCATTATACATGTTCCCCACGCATTCAAAGATACATCCAATTCTGGAAACAATTTTCTGTCATTTAATTGTTTTCCTACATTTCCTATTTGATATACATTAGGTGGATCTTCTAGGGGATCAAGTGGATATACTTCTTAGATTGATTGAGAAAGTATACTTGATTCTGAATCAACAATCACCGGTCTTGCAGCAATATTCTGATGTAAGAGATCCCCAAGTCTATTTTCTTTATTCTATGTTTATGTACCCAATCTCATAGCAATTAACTTGCATTAATTTTAACTATTACTTTCTTTCAATATCTCTGCAGGTCTCAGAAATTCTCAGGTTGATCAAGGAGCAGGTAGCAGTATTTAGTACACCACCTAAAAAATTAGATACAAGCTCTGATGTTTAACCCCATTTTTTTAATCTGTTTTAGGCCCAAAGGAAATTGTTCTATAGGATTTATTTAGTAGTAGATGTTTCAGCAACAACGAAACTGCAAACTAACAAAATTTGGTGGTATAGGTAAACCAAAATTTCAAGTACATACTTCTGGGAACGCAAAAGGTTCACTTTCAGAAAATGTTTTGAGTACTTCACGGTGAATTTTTTTTAAATAAAATATAATCCTCGCCATGCGGACACCAAATTTTTTTTGTGAATATAAAAGGTGGAGAAACTTTAAGATATGAAAGTTTTTAAGGCTTCCTTTTAAGTTATTTGCATAATCTTTTTCTAACTTCGGTTCTCCTTGAGTTGAAGCAATTTGGAATAACTTTATTTGTATTCCCCTTCACTCTAATACAACTAAGCATTCTTTTTTATATTTCCTCACTTAATGAATGTTTCCTTTGTTCCTATATAACAAATAGCATGTGGACCAGTGAAGAAGCACATGAACTCGGAAAGTACGAGTCTAATAACCAAAAGAAGCACGCTCTACTCATTTTTGCCATTAGTTTACTGTTTACTGGTTGACGGTATTGTCAACAAAACCTATTATTGCATGAACTCAACATGTATATTTAGAATATATCAAAATCGAATAACAATTATGAATCTACCAATGATGGAAACAAAATATTAAAGGATAACTAAAATCCACACAAAATTAAGACTATGAAAAAAGAAACAGGATCATCCGAAATGATGAAAATGGTGACGCTTACAACTTTGACAAAGTTAATAAAAAATATTATAGCATTCCATTAAATGATAAAGAGAAACTTAATTTAGAAAAATAATTTTTAAAAAATATTCTAGAGAATATGACAACTAGTGCTTCTAAATGCATGTAACAATCGAAAATGAACAGAATCAAAATTCAAATCATAATGTTGTTAAGCTTAAGCGGTAGCAACTCTATCCTTGAATATATAAAACTTTCTAAAACTAAAATTTTCAAGACATAATGCTCTATAAATCCAAAAGATTCTGCAATCGCATTACATAAAATTGCAGAAAATTAGGTAGTAAGAAATACAAAGAAGGATAAGAAGTTCGTCAGATAGTTGCTTAAAATAATGGTTCACAGTCTGAGCGCAATAAAAGATTACATATAACATTAATGTAAAGCGGATCACACCAAAAAAGAAATAGTGATAAACAAGAAACCACCGCTGAAGATCGTCGATACACAGTTCGGTTAACTATTCAATTCACACGTCAATAAAAAGCAACGCCGACGCGAAATTGTCTTCAAAATAACAATAACTATAGAAAATCTATCCTAAATCAAATGTAGATATTTAAAAACAAGACACAAGTCAGCAACGGATGGATCAAATCAATCAACTCGAAACCTAATCTAATCCAGTAGAGAAACAAAAACTTTCAAGAAACTTTTCGATAATCAGCAATCACAATAATTAATTTAAGAAACTACTTGATACTGAGCAATCACGGTAATTAATGTAAGAAATTATTTGATCCTGAGGAATCACAATAATTAATGACAGGAACTATTTGATTTTCCTCGTCGACTAATCAAAATCGAACAGTAAGAAGGAATTATGAGACATAGCAATCACGATTAACGATAAAAGAAGAAACGATTAAGTCTTCCGATAACAAAATCACTGACTCAAACAATGCATCGCAAAAGATCGTTCATCTGAAATACCTGTTTACGATATCGAAAGCCACCAGAGCTTCGAAGGTCGAATCGTTGTATAATCGTACATCTCGTCGGAGCAATTTTAAAAGAAACCATCATTTATTCGCGCGCAATTTTGTGACATAGAAGTGACGCCGAGTACCCGCTCCTGCCTTTATATAGTATCACGACTATCGAAACGGTGGCGTTTCGCGTACAGTGGGTAAATGGTAAATCGGTCTGTCTGTTTTACGCAGTTGCAACAGACGGCGACGTTTTACCCAGCGGTCAAGTGACTGTGTCACATTAAACCTTTTTTAAGGAGGAGAAAATCGTACATTGGTCTGCGTCTGTTTAACGCAAAACGGCGGCGTTTTATTAATGACTAATAGGCTGGGCCACTATATAGAAACTTAATGGGCTCAATCAAGCCCAGTTAGATTATTGCCTAAGCCCAGCCCAAATGGTCCTTTCTATTGTTCACATCCATTTAAAACCTAATATTTTAATATTAATTACTTTTAGTTAAAATGATGCCATCACCTTAGTTTAAAGAAAATTAAAAATAAATAAAAAAACAATTTGTAGAATTCATCCTAATCAAACTTGCAATGGAACTCAACCGAAATAATTAAGGCTGTTTGTAGATTTCTCGACGGCGGCTCACTCCCCTCCGGCCGCCGTTGTAGAGGCATCTGCGGTGGCCCTACTTCGGAGCCACTCAACCATATCCCCAAAAACAAGCTCCACATTCTCTCTAGGTTCTCCAATCAATTGGTGCCACATACCTGGATATATCTTAAGAGTCTTGTCCCTACTGGCGGCGCGTCGGTAAAGCTCATCCACGCACGCTGGATCGCAGATCACATCGCCGCCGCCATGCGTTATCAGAAGAGGAACCTCCACCTCGTTGAACCTCTCCTGCAACTCTCTGCACACTCTCATAAGTTCCTGTGCCGTCGCAGCGCGAGGACGCGCCGCCACACGTCGAGGACTCGCCATCGCAAGCTTCCGCTTCCAATCGACTTTGAAGGATACCTCAGGTATAGATCCGCGGGTGGGAACCACGCGCCAAGTCGGAATCAGAGCGGCGGCTAGGGACAGAAAGTGCTCCAGTGGCCATGGCGGTTTGAACTTGGCGCTGATTCCGCACATGGCGCCGTTCAGAACGACACCGTTCCAAGATCGCAAGCCCTGGGTCGTCGATTTCTGACGAAGCGTTATCAGAAGAGCAATCGCACCGCCGAGCGACTCGGCGTAGAGGAAGGAAGGCAACGACGGCGCGTGACGCTCACGAAACGCGTCAAAGAACGAAATACAGTCGTCCACAACGGGGTTAATGTCAGGTATGTGATATTGGAGGCCATCGGAGAATCCATGGCCTTGATGATCGATAGCGCAAGTGATAAATCCGGCCTTGGTAAAATGCACGGCGGTGAGTTGAACTAGCCAGCTAGATTCGCCGGTGAAGCCATGAACAACGGCGACGATTCCGATTGGGTAGACCGGAGCGAGAGGGATCCACCACTGAGTGAACAGCTTAAGGCCTCTGGAATTGGTGATGAACTCGGAGCCGTGACTCACCGAATGGCGAGTGTAGAACTCGTCCTCCGTAAGAGAGCCGAAGGGGCTCCGCTCGTCGGCGTCTTCCACCGGGTGAACCATTTCCCGGTCGGAGGATATGGTAGTGTTGCAGGGCGGGAAAGTGCTAATTTGCGCTTTTGAGGGAGGGAAAAATTAGTAATGGGAAGTGAAAGAGATGTGATTTTGGTAGTTAACGCATTTGAGGTATGCTTGGGAGTAGTTTTGACATTAATTTTGGATTTATTTTTATCACATACCTTAAAGAATTTCTTCCCCTTTATTTATTTATTATTATTATTTTTTGTTAATGTCTAATAATTAATTTTAAAAATTTAAATCAATTATCATAAATTAGTTTTCACTAATTTGCACCAAAGTTCTCATCACAATTATTTGTATTAATTATTGAAATTAAAAGCCTAAAATATTAAAATTTGAGCCATTAACTCAAAACTTAAAAATAAAAAGGTTAAATTAATAAAATTGTCTATAAATTTTATATTTTATCTAAAAAATACTCTTAATTGAGATTATTCCAAAAAGGGCTAACCTAACTTTTGAAATTTTATTAATATTTTTTAATTTTTAAAAAAAGTTTATTAATGTTTTTTTTTTAAATAAAAAAATTTATAAGGAAAAATCATTTTGTAAGTTCTGAAATATTTTTGACACCCTTCTAAAATTTTGGTATCGTCAAAACAAAATATTAATATTTAAGTAAGAAATTAAAACTAATGGTACTTTTTAAATTTTATTTAAACTTTTCAAATTTTATAAGTATTTGTAAGATAAAAGGTAAAGTATTTAGCCTTCAGGTAATTAAATTAATTTAGCCTTATTTTTATATGGATAGTAACAGACAATTATTTGTTTAATGTAAATTAGTTATAATGAAATAGATATGAATAATAATAAATTAATTAAATTTTTAAATATTTGTTGAAAAAATTTAATCTTTTAAGAGGAGTAATTAAATATTTGCAGTTTGAGTATCATAGGGATAAGATTATTGGGCAACGAAATAGGGGCAAAAGAGAACTAACATTGATAGGGGCTACAATAAAGCAAGATTAAAAGTTTAATACTACAAGGAGAAAGGGAAAATAAACCATTTTTTTAACCATCGCCCCCCAACTAAAACATAAAAGTGCTTAAAATGGGCTTTGATTTTGGAATGCGATCAAACGGATGGGCTGCTCCTGAAAGACCCGAGAGCCTTGACGGCGCCGGCCCTCAAAATGAACTGGTGGTAGAAGGCTGCGATGGCGGCTCCCACGAATGGCCCAACCCAAAATATCCACTGCAAAACCCCCCACAACCCATTTCACACTTTGTTAGAATTTTAATGGAACAATATTTTAGTGAATATAATTTAAATGACTGATAATTCTAAGTAGTCTAACCCTTGACCCAAATATAAATTAGTCAACTTCAATATGCATAATTACATTGTCGCGTCATACTTGGTATCTTATCTAGCTTGTAATAAATTTAGATAGATATGATATATAAGAGATACTGACTTGATCATTCCACGGTTTTTCATGGTTCAAGATAACAGCCGGGCCGAAACTTCTAGCGGGGTTGATGCCGGTGCCGGTGATGGGGATCGTGGCCAAGTGAACCATAAACACAGCGAACCCAATCGGGAGTGGAGCCAATACCTTTTTTTTTTTTTTTTTTTTAAAAAAAAAAAAAAA